ATCGGTCCATATATATTCATCATTATTACTAATGTCAAGTAATAAAATATCACTTTCAATTGATTGATCATAACCAAGTCCTATTAAATTAAGTTAATTAAGTTAATTAATAATCGGTTCAATATTTATGCTTAAATATATGTATGTATATATGTATACCAAATGATATAACCATATATTTTCCAATTAAATTTGCTGTATGGAAACGTCGGTTTGGTGGAATTTTTCCAGAAACTTTTGGAATAGACCATTCTAAAGTTGAAGTTTCTAATACGTAAAGTGAATCTTCAGGTTCAGTATTAATACTTCCAAAAATTATTACTCTTTGATCATCTAATCCTATTAAAATGAATAATAATTAATACAATGCTTTAATTACAATATAACATCCTTAAATACATGCCAAGAATAGAAGAAAAACCATATCTAGGGAGAGGAATTTTCCCTGAAGTCTTCTGTATTCATTAATGTAAGTTATAAATAATTTATATTTATATTCAATCTCGAAAATCTCGAATATATAATAATTAATTATTACCTGTGTACTCCAATTATCATTGTCTATATCGTAAAAATATACCTATATAAATAAATAATTCCAATAAGTAACTGTATCTATGTAATTATATAAAAATTATCATCATGTTGTATCATTTAAAAGCTTCTTGCATATTTTGATTAATTTACCTCATTAAGTGTTAAAGCATTATTATCTTTTGCATCATTATCATAACCACCTAAATAGTAAATAACGTAATAAAATAAGAGATGCTAAATAATATTAACATTACAAGGATTTCTTGCTTACCAAGATAAATAATTTTTCGACTAGGTAATAAAGCAGAACCATATTGACATCTTGGAGACGCACCAACTACACTTCCTTTTCCAAAACTAAGATTTACTGTATCTAAAATAAGCATATCAATTTCATTTTTAGCAACTAACCGTTCTCCAATCCGTACAAACACTGTTCCACTCTATAAATACATTTTTCCAACATTGTCTACAATTGCCTTCCTCAATTCAAATTTTCTAATAGGATCTATTCCAGTTATTTTTGGAGTAGTCCATGAATTACTTTGTGGATCAAATGTATTAACTAATGGTGTCGTTCCAAATCGGGACCTTCCTCCATATAAAAATAATGTGCTGTTATTTGCACCACCTTTAACAGATATAGCATCAAAATGTGGCGGAACAGTATTAATGCTTGATAAATCTTTCCATAATAAATTTTGAGTATTAAATTTAACGGAAAAATCAAGATAAAAAAA